TGAGGGTTACGGGGGCCGGCAGAAGCATGTGTCAGGGCGGATGGCTCTCACAAGGAGGGCTGGGGGAAGGTGTAGCAGCAAGCGGGGGTTCACCCTCAGGCTGCGCCTGGGACGTTCCGCGGGAAAGTGGGCCTGGGAGCCAAGGCGGGAAGGGGAAAGGCTGTGGCGCTGAGGGAGATTTTTTCAAAGTAGTTGATAAATTAGACTATTTTTGATAAATTGTGCAATCTGGGCTGAAATTTTCAATATCGTTCACTTCAGGATTATTATTTTCATCACTCTTCAACAAGTATGAAGAAACACATTGTTTTGTATATTTTATAATAAAATTTTGTAAGGAAGCACATCGTGTTTTGCAGTTCACAATGGGAGTTAATCCATGGCCTTTGTTATGAGAGATTCTGGATGCCCATAAATACAGGCAGAGTTGCTGGGGTTTTCGAGTGAAGAACTTACTGGCATTATACGCAAAGGAATGAAATATGTACAAATAGTGTGAGAAAAGTAATGCACAAGCACTGGAAAAGAGATGGATACCTTGTGTCAGCATTTAGAAACACCTACTACCATGTAAACTTACTGGAGGAGGAATCTAGAAACCTCCTTGGACGCTTCTTCATTCATATAGTTACCAGTAATTATCTGATACTTCAAAGCTATCAGTGAACAAATCTGCTGAAGGTAGATGCTTCAGACATATGTTATTGTTTTACAAAATAATGACTGAGTTCTTCTACTGAAGAGAGAGGTTCTTGAGTTGTTTTAATGGAGAAGTTCTAAGTGTAACACTTGCCTTTGAGGAACAAAATACAGACCTGAACACCAAGGATACAGGTGGGAACATGCTTGATCATTGTGCAACAATTTTATACCAGCTGGAAAACATTTGGAGTAAAGAAAAAAGCAGGAGAAAACAGTGGAAAGAATTTCAAGAAAAAAACCAACAGTTTTTGATGAGCAATAAGAAAGCAATCTGTGGCAAGGATTTTGTGACTTCCGTAAGTCTTCTGGTAATCAAATGATTCAGCAAAAAGATAGTATGGCACAAAAATGGCTTTGTGCAGTTGAAGTGGTAATGTGATGAGAGAACTTCAGACCATTTTACTGGGATATCAGCATTTCAGACAAGGATGTGAACTGTGCATGAGTCAGATAAAGGACAAAAATGAAAATCTTAGTTACAAAGAGTGCAATTACAGAAAGATGGAGGGAGTATTTTAATGATCTCTTTAATGGTGAAATGGATAAAGGTGAACAAACAGCAATTTTCCAGCCAGCTGAGCCATTTGTGGAAGAGCCAAGAGGTGACCAGAACACCCAGGAACAATAAAGCACCAGGTGTTGGTAATGTTCCCACTGAATTATTAAGAACAGGAGGGGATAAGACTTTAAAAACTAGTTTGTGTTAGTTTGGTGGTTTGAAAATACTGTAAAGAAATGGAAAAGGGGAATGATGTGTCTATTTTCCAGAAGGGACAAAATGAAACCTGAGGCTTGGGGCAGCGACTTGCTGTTTATTATACTGTGTGATGTTCTAGGCTATTTGTTCACATGTAATTATCCTGTAAACAGAAGAGAGATTAAGAGAGATTTCTGGAAGAGCAGCACTGCAGCACAACAGTTATTTTCAGATTATTGAGTACCTGACAAAAAGAAGTAGGAATATGACAGACTATATACAGGGATCTTTAATGTATTTAGGAAAGCATGTCATAGTGCATTATGAATTTGCATTTGTAATAAAGCACCCATCCCTTCCTTTTTTCCCAGTAAGTGTAAAAAAGTAAACTTTTTTCCATTTTTTGGTAGTTTTTACTGTATATCATCATCGGGAAGGAAACTTAGTGCTAATCGTAATATAGGGTATGCTTTTTTTCCACATTTAAAGACAAATCCAACTTTAATATCTCCTAATAAGAAAAAATACTCTGAAATTACTCTAGGCTTCTCTTTTGAAGTATATAGTAGGATGCCCATATTATTTCATTCAGACCCGTGATTAGTCCCAGCTGTCCTGGCTGTGATGAAGAGAGGCTACCTGTAACAGGAAAAATTAACAAAATTAATCTCTCTGCCTCCCACTCTTCCTATTTTCATATTGCTATAGGTAGGAAAGAAAGAATAAAGCAAGTAAACACAAGCCTTTCTTTCCCAAGCTGATACCAGTCTTTTTTTCTCTAGCTTAATGGAAGTGTGGTCATCTAGTATTGTTTTGCAGTTTATCTTTAGCTAAAAGCGTATAATAACGCATTATTTTTTAGTTCTGAAGTAGGTTTGAAAGAAAAGAGTGCTGTGCTGATTCTAAAAAAAAATTCCATTTATATCATGTTTCAGCAATATAAAGGAATTTTCAGCGTAACAAAAGAATACATCAAATGTTATTCCAAGCACATGGAAGGTATGAAATCTGAAGCTCTGGAGTTATAGACCATGCAGAAAACAAAGCAGAGGATGGGTAAGCAGTTCAGTACCGAAACACGTGCATTTTTTCAGTAATTAAAAAGCTGTAATTTGGGAGTGGGATTTGGTATAAATGCAAAGAACAGGCTTGTAGTCTTCTATATTGGTTATAAGGGCACAAAACTGTATAGGAGAGAGCTACCATAAAGGATTTTGTTGATCAACACAAGCACAATGTTTTTTATAATAAAAATAGAAAGCTTGCGTATCGCTGTATTAATCTTGACATTAGCACACTCAAACTGTTGAAGTAGGTTTGTTATTTTTGTAGAAAATGCTCTGCTTATTCAGGCTGGAGCCACGATCTAAGTTGTTTTTTTTCTGGATGATCATTTGTTCATTATGGAGCTTGGCATGAACCTGTCTATCTCGGTGGTGTCTTGTAGCAAAAGAGCTGCCGTGTTCTTTAGGGAAGGATGCACTGAACCTGTGGGGTTTCCTTGAACACTGAAATTGTACATAATTACTCTCTTAAAGAAGATACTCGCTACATTATCATGACTTTTTGAGTAGATTTTATTGTTACTTCTGCCATTACTGTAGCAGCCACATATAAAACATACGGTAATCCCAATTCAATCGATCTGGAATCACATTTTAAATACAGAATTGCTGTTTAACAGTAGCTAGGTAAACAATTTATGGGTATGTTAATGACTGTAGTATGTAACTGGCTGCATTAATGACTGGGTACACAGTGGTTAAGGATTTCTAGCTCTTTTTAATTATAAGCTTGCTGTAATTCATAGCTTAGTTGCTCACTTTATACCCAGAGTTACTTACCTCTTGTCTGAATTGTATAAAGTTTCTATTTACCTCTTTCTCTCAAAAAAATGAGATAAAATCTCCCCTTTTCTTTTTAGCACACTGTTGTTATCTATTGACCACCTTTCTTATTCTGGCACAGATATGCTATGTATCCTTTGATAAGGGTTTTTTGTTTTGATTTGTTTTGGGTTTGCGTGTCTGTATTTCACAGCCTGCCAATTTCTATGACTAATTTATTTGGTTACTGTCTTTAGACCAGAGGACTCCTTTCTTGAGGATAGTTGTAAGAAGCAAAGATGCACTTAAATCTAAACAGAAAACAACACACAAAGCTTGTCCCTTTTCCCTTCCCTTTGCTTTCTCTTTTCTTTATTCAAAACCATCCTCACTATTGTATTTTATAAGACGTTTTGTTACTGTGTGCTTGAAAAGGGTAAATTAAACTTATGGGTAGTACTAACAATCAATGTTGAATTTGCGCTTGAATTCTCTTATTGCAGTAGCTTTGTTTTCTTACAGTTCTTCCCCCAAAAAGTGTTTGTGTATGAGACATTTTCAGTTAAAAGTGTGCAACAAGCAATTTCTGTTACTGTACAAAAGATTCTTAGAGAAAATGAAAGTCTTAAAATATAATTAGTTTATAATTAACCATATTCTTTATGTTCAGCTTTCATCATAGATTTGCTTTTGTTGTTGCTGTGGAAAGCCATGACATGAGTTCCGTAAGGAATGTGTTGTGGTTTTGTTTGCAAAGCATAGTATCACTGGATAGAAACTTAGATTGTTTTGGTTTTGTTTTTTAAGTAACTTTCTGTCTTGCAGATAAAGTAATCAAAATGAACTGCTACTTTGTAGACAGTACTTATGTGTTTTTAAGAGCAACCTTCAATGTTGATAGTGTATCTGTCTGGGAGATTTTACACTAAATTCTTCATCCAACAAAGCAGCCAACCCTGTGTTACGGTCAGGCCAATTGTATTTAATCTTCTCTTAGCTATTAAGAGGAATTGTCTCTGGAAGAGAAGGTCAGAGCTGAGCAGGTTTACTGCATACAGAAAATAAACTTATTTTTCCTATGAGCGGTACCATTTGTCTAATGGTGTCTAATAGCATTCCTAAGTAAACCTTGTCAATCATTGATCTCCTGCTCGAAGAGAACCCCGCTTGATACACAAAGAAATAAATGCTTTCTGCCTTTTTTTTTTTTTGGT